TGCCTCAGCCTCCCGAGTAGCTGGGATTACAGGCATGCACCACCATGCCCGGCTAATTTTTTCTATATATTTTTAGTTGTCCAATTAATTTCTTTATATTTTTAGTAGAGACGGGGTCTCGCTCTTGCCTCAGGCTGGTTTTGAACTCCTGAGCTCAAACAATCCTCCCGCCTCAGCCTCCCAGAGAGCTAGGATTATAGGCGTGAGCCACCGCGCCCGGCCACCACTGGTTCTTAATCTAACAACTTCCTTACTTCAAACCTAAGGTGAGGTGCTTACAAAGTCAGTAGATAACATATCCAGATAGTTCATTCCTTCTCACCCCCCTTTCCCTACTTCTTGGCATCAGTTCTCACTTTGGCTTCTATTAATAGATTAGACAAATCTGGTCTCTTCCTTTTATCTCTTTCCCTTACCCTAGTTTATCAACTGTATAATTAATGTGCTTGAAGAACAGCGCTAATTATAGCTACGAAATAATGAGAAAAGCATTGGATTTGGAATCAGGAGGTAGTTTAAAATTTTAGCTTTATCGTTTACTAGCTGTAATATCTCTGATTATCATTTTATTACAAAAAGGAAGTTTCCCCTTTTTGAAAACAAGGACAGTGTCTTTCGACTCAAAGTGGGGCAAAGCATGGCACGTTTATTATATCCAAATTCTAAATTTTGTAGTAAGTTAAGCAAAGAAAACATGAGTGTCACCCTAAATTAATGTTCCCTTCTGCTAAACAAAATCTGAACTTTATAACTAACTTTCAAAACTCTCTAATACCTTAACTAATGTAAATTTTTTTACTACAAAAAACACCTGTTCGTAATAAAAATTTAAACCAATGTATCAGATTACAAAATTAAATGAGAATACTCCTTATCAATCCTATTCTCCAGAGGCAACCACTATTAGTGGTTTCATGTACCACCTTCACGGACTTCTTCTATGTATAAGTGGCCATTTACATACAGGTATATTTTCCCTTTTTTGCCCATCCTATAAATAGTGTTCTACAGCATGGAATTTTCATTTCATCTATCAATGGAATCAATCTCCTAATGACAAACATTTTGGTTGTTTATTTTGCTATTTAGCATAATGTTGTAACCAATATCTTCTTACATATGTCCTGGTATATAACACAACTAACTGGTTACCGCTTGTACAAAGACAAGCTGTTTTACTGGTATATCTATTATATACCCGGCCACCTTAATGAACATCTTAGATTTTGTTAGGTGATAATCTGCAAATAATATTTTTGCTCTCCTTATATTTATTCCTTACTTCTTTCTCAACGTACTCGTATTTTAACTTTAAAAAAGTAGGAATGAATGGCTATTGAATCACATAAAATTTATTTTCAGCAACTAAGATATATCACATGTAGACATCTAGAAGGCAACTCTGAATGTAAGACAATTTTTTCATTTTCCCACTGAGAAAGAGGAACTAAAAAAAAACAGAAAACCATTTTTACCAAGTTGAATATATTTTAATATTTAAACTTTAAGAAATGTGAATGAACTATCCACAGTTACCTAACTTGTTAAACACCTAAACAAGATTGCATATTACATAAATAAATTCAGAAATATTGCTCCTTGCCCCCAAACTATTCACATGTTAGACAGTGTCTTTATTTTCACTGCAGCTATATTGTAAACGCTCTCGCAGGTTTCTGGTATAACATAACACTTTCCCTCTAAGTTGTGTCTTGAGGTAAAAATTACACTGACAAACACCTGTTTGAATATTATTAGGATAGTTGGATTTTTTTTTTGCATTTGTCTTATAGGTTTACATCCATGTAACCTTTGTATTAACTTCTTAAAGTGATCTTTAAACAAATTGTGTACGATGACATACAGTACTTGAAATAGTAAAGTCATATTCCCAAGTGTAAGGACCAAATCTACGTTTAATTTCTTGGCTCTAAGAAAAAAAATCCTGTCAGATTTCCAACCACACTATTTAAGGTCCTTGCAGGCACATTTGTTCTCACCTGTCATATGTGATTTCATTAACATTTTGTTGGTTGTTCAAAATAAAAGACAATGAGAGCCCTGTAACATCAGAGTATGTTAAAGCTGCGGTCCCCAACCCCTGGGCCTCAGCCTACTACTGTCCCGTAGCCTCTTAGGAAACGGGCCACGCATCATCACCTCAGCTCCGCCCCTGCCTCCCACCCCTCCATCGTGGAAAAATTGTCTTCCATGAAACTGGTCCCTGGTGCCAAAAAAGTTGGGGACTCCTGTTAAAGGTCTGAATACACAGTGATTCTTCTCTTTTCTAAAGGATAAATTTGAGGAAAAATCCCCACTTTATTTTTGGGCATATGGTAATCATATCCCCGTGTCCCCACCCCAGCCTCATTAATTGGGAACCATGCTCACATCAAAATTTAGACTCTATCAACTATTTCCTGAACTTATACCCTCACATATTTACATTCTAGCTAAAGTGAACTAAAGGTACCTTTGTTTTTATCCTATAGTTTTCTACCTTTGTGCCTTCTGCCTTGCTCACATTACCCTTTTTTCCTTCTTTTGGCCTGAAATATTCTTTTTTTTTTTTTGAGACTGTTTCACTCTGTTGCCTGGGCTAGAGTGCTATGGCATCAGCCTAACTCACAGCAACTTCAAACTCCTGGGCTCCAGAGATCCTCCTGCCTCAGCCTCCCGGGTAGCTGGGACTACAGGCATGCGCCACCATGCCCAACTAATTTTTTCTATGTATATTTTTAGCTGTCCAGCTAATGTCTATCTATTTTTTTTAGTAGAGACAGGATCTCACTCTTGCTCAGGCTGGTCTCAAACTCCTGAGCTCAAACGATTCAGCCACTTTGGCCTCCCAGAGTGCTGAAATATTCTTTATTTCTATATCTGAGTCTAACTTATAATCAGAATCCAGTTCAAATGCCATCTCTTTCATAGTATTCCTGATATCCCTCTTCCTGCTTGGGAGAGATGTTAATTTCTCTCTCTCCTTTTTTTTTTTGAGTCAATTGGGTAGTAGGTAAATGGTGAGCTGTGGAGTCACCATATTTGGATTTAAATTCTATTCCTATCTCTCATAAGCTGTAAGTTTCGGTAAGTTACTCAGCTTCTCCAGGTCTCAGCTTTCCCATTAGTAAAACAGAAATAACGTTAGCACCTATACTTAAAAGAGGTCTTATAAGGATTAAATGGAAACATAAAGTGCTTTGTACGTTATACATAATGTTAGCTATTACCCTATTTGTTCTGTAGGAATTTATAAGTGTTTACTATTTTATTTAAATCCCTTAATGTAGTCATATCTTGACCATCTTGGTATACGTTCAATATCTGAACTCAATTAGGGGAAAAAACTGAGCAGTTTTATGGATATATTCCCTCATTTTTTGTTTAAGATAATTGAGAGGCACCTATGCCAGTTGTACCTTAGGGCACTTAGGGGGAAGTGGCACCTCTAGGTATGCCGAAAGTACGTGGTGATCTACTGTGCACAACCCCACTGGCTAGTATTCAGCCAGGCAGGGATGGTTTATCGTAGCAGTTTGGTATCATGCTTTGCCTAAACTTGCCTCATGAAACCAGTTCAAACAGCCTTTACTGACTGTGTAGTACGTGGTAGACATGGGTGCTTGATAAAAAATGTTCATGAGGCTCCACTGAACAGAAAACTAAGAATACTGTCTGTACCTCAAGACTCTACAGGTACTTTTATGGAAGAAATTCTTAAGTTAGTAGGGTAGTTCACAACTTTATGGCCACAAAGTTTTCCTGTAGGAGGAATTATTTTTGGTGCCCCATTAAAATACAGCAGATTACTATAAATGACTCTTGACAAAAACATGAAAAAAGCAATCCCTCATTTACTATGTTTCAGAAACCCACAAATAAAGTAAATTTCAGCTGAAGTACATTTCCTTTTTTTTTTAATTTCAGAATATTACGGAGGCACAAAGGCTTTGGTCACGTAAATTGCCTTTGCACAGCCCGACTCAAAGCTACAAGCCTGCCCATCCCCCGGACAGTGCATTAAGTGTGAATTTACCCATTCCCTCTGCCCCCATCCCACCTGCCCAATCCCCAGTGAATATTACTTCCATATGTGCACTTAAGTGTTGATCAATTAGTACCAATTTAATGGTGAGTACATGCGGTGTTTGTTTTTTCCATTCTTGTGATACTTCACTTAGAAGAATGGCTCGAGCTCCATCCAGGATAATATAAGAGGTGTTAGTTTGCCACTGTTTTTTATGGCTGAGCAGTACTCCACAGCATACATATACCACATTTTATTAATAGACTCATGGATTGATGGGCACGTGAGTTGTTTCCACATCTTTGCAACTGTGAATTGTGCTGCCATATAAACATTCGAGTGCAGATGTCTTTTTTTCCTTTGGGTAAATCCCCAGTAGTGGGATTGCTGGATCTAAAGTACATTTCTTTCCTCACTATAATAAAACTAGAGATAGGGTTCCCTGAGGTGGGGTTGGGACCTGACTGTGTATAAGACAAAAATCATGTCTAATAACCAACTCTATCCATATAGTACAAAAAGTTTCAAACCTTTCTTTCTTTTTAATGTGGAATTTCAATAACTACAACAAACAAATGTAGCTTCTGGGGTACCTCTGCAGAATTATAAGTCCCTGCAGAACTTTATTCTGGGAATCTTGAATTCTGGTTATATAGCTCCCTTATTGTCCAAGTGACCTTGGAAAAGTTAAATATTCTAGACTGCATACACTTCTTACATAAATTGAGGGTTCAGTTTCATGATTCTACTCAACATATGCGATAAAAATATCTAAAATGAAAACATCACTGAAACAGAAATTAATTTTTGTTTGTGCTGTAGAGTATTTAACTATATTTTTTCCCAGAAGAGTTAACTAATTCTTTTAATCTGACATTTATGGTACTGCTCTCTTCAACACTCATATGCTATTGAACTCAATGGCTCGTTTCACTACTTCTTCATTTAGTAGTAAGTATACATACGTATGTCCAATTATAAGATACTTAACAAATTTCTTTGGAAAAGGAAAAACAGAGCATACACTTAAATTTGCTCAGTTTACTGGTGTTAGTCTATGTACAAAGATAAGCAAATTAGAAGACTGTTACCCATGACAGGACTTTTATCCTCAACCAGTTTTATGTGATCTGTAATTTGTATTCTAATTAGCAACTGTTAATAGAATAAAATAGAATTTGTTAAGGTTGGCAAAAATATGACTACCTGAATTTAACCATAATTATACATAAATTCAAACATTTGTTTGGAAGAAAGGGCAGGAGCCAGACAACGTATATAACAATTCCCAGCCCTTAAGTTCCACAAAATAGAAATGCTGATCACTGGGTGAATGTATATATAACCAAACTAATCAATTCTGCCTGTACAAAATGCTTTAAACTGATTTTTATTTTGTACGAGGAACATCTCATCTTAAATCACGATCAAATGACTACGTGACCACATGCTGGACTAGAAGAGGGTCATTTGTAATTAAGAATTAAAAGCTTTGTTTCACAATTAATATAAACGGAAGCCAATTTATAATTTGGTGGTTGAAAAATATATTTGAGGAACTATCAATGAAATAGTTCATTAGGAAGTTTGTATTACACATATGGTGACTATAAATTTTACTTAGAACAGCTAACAAATATTCAATTATGCCAAAAAAGCATTATTCCCATGCAAATAATTACTATAAACTAATGCCAGCAATGAACTATAGATATTTAATTATAGAATTATCAGTTTTACTGTTGAATACATCAGGATTGTACTAATGTCTTAAGTTCCTTGAACCTTCTGGAACAAACTTCTCAAATTAGAAGTTAATAAAAATTTGTAAAATATGTTCCTGAAGGAATCCTCATTTTCAGGGGGTTCCTGTATATACATGTTAAATAAATCTGATAGCTTTTCTTTTATTAAAAAAGAGTTCCTGAGGCTGGGTGTAGTAGCTTATGCCTGTAATCCTAGAACTTTGGGAGGCTGAGGCAGGAGGATTGCTCTGAGCTCAGGAGCTTGAGCTCAGGAGTTCGAGACCAGCCTGAGCAAGAGTGAGATCCGTCTCTGCAAAAATTAGAAAAAATTAGTCAAGTGTGGTCATGTGTGCCTGTAGTCCCAGCTACTCAGGAGGCTGAGGGAGGAGGATTGCTTGAGCCCCAGAGTTTGAGGTTGCAGTGAGTTATGATGACACCACTGCCTCTAAGCCTGGGTGACCAGAGCAAGATTCTGTTTCAAAAAAAGTTGCTGAAATTGTTGTGCTTAGGCTTTGTCAGGATAAAATCTGATACCTCATCCCACAGATTAGAATTTAAAAAGGCTACAGGATCATTATAGGCAAGCACAATGAAGGTAAAGACAAAATGCTCGTATGTGGACAAGTCATAAACATAAGTGGAAACAAACTGATGTTCTTTGTACTGTTAAATTATGTGTAAAATCATCTGTTTAAGAAGGTAGGTAGATTATAACATATCAGTAACAATGATTCTTTTAAATTTTAATATCTACTAAATTGTTCAAAAATACATTAAACGAAAGATTTTCTAAATTTCTAAACTATGTGCCCATGCAGTATAAGAACTTCTAAAATGTTGCTGAACACAAGAAATGTTATGCCTTTTAATTTTCCTATAAAAAACTCAGCAAGCCATCTACATCAGGAATCTAATTCACAAAAGATGTACACCAGTGTTTTGGCTACTGCTAAACAAAGCAGCAACACATTGTTCTTACCTGTTGAGGATGCTGTATGGACTGTGAAGATGAAACCCCTGTTAAGCTACTTGAGGACGGCTGACCCTGGCTCTGCCCCTGTGCCTGAAGGAAAGAAGTGAACACGACGAATTAGAGAACGCCTAAAGTAAGTGTATAAGAGGTAAGGCTTTTGCAATCAATATTTAAGCTCCTGAGAGTTTGCTTGATCAAAATGAAACATTAGCTTGATTATATACAGTATATGCCTCTGGGGCATCTTCTGTAAGAAAAGTTTACAGCAGGATCCTATCACAGAACATCTTTTGATCCCATCCCATGTAAAAACCCTTGACAGTTAAAACCTAACCTACCATTGCTGCTCAGGCTATAATTTTAGCTGGCTAGAATAGTCAGATTCATAATAAATTGTTACTGGAAATATAATAATCAGGAAAAAAGTGGTAAGACTACCAATGTGAAAATTTTATCTGAACAATTAAAGAAAAAAAGATATTTGATAATGCAAATTTGGCTATTTTTGCTACTTACAATGCCAAGGTTTATAAAAAAAAATCTAAAAAATCAACTTATTATCAACTGCTATGTACCTAGAGCAATGCCTGTCATCCAAGGGCAATTTTGCCAGCCCCAGGGGGCATTTGGCAATATGTAGACACATTTCTGGTTGTCACAACTAGGGGAGATGGTTGCCACTAGCATCTAGGAGGTATAGACCAAAGATGTTGCTAAATATTCTACAATGCACAGAACAGCTCTCAACAACAAAGAATTATCCAACACCAAATGTCAACAGTGTTGAGTTTGAGAAACCCTGACTAGCGTGCTCCAGTTATCAAGAAGTCTAAATTAAAATAAATGAGAAAATGAGAAATACATTCAGGACTATATGTAGGTTAAGGAAATGAAAAGACTACCACCTTTGTTGGTCCGTTTCAGTTTAGAAGGGGTTCACTGAAGCTTACGGGGATATATCACATTCCACTGCAGCTCAATCACTGTAAGTATTCACTCCCTCTGCAGCATGTCTGTAAATTAACTACCTAGTATTTGAAATCTTACTTTGGAAAGTTTAAAAAAGAATGGCTGGTAATACATTAATTATTTATGGTAGGGGCTGCAACTTGAATATTGATGTGAGTATACCACATGCCCACGAAGTGTCTTTTCAAGTTTCTTGATCTTTTTGTTTCTTCATACTACTTTAAATAATGGATACTTCATACACATTTCAGGGTTATTCCCCTGATGGGGGAAGTACATAGGAAGAGAGCAGAAAGAAGAACACATAGTAAGTTATAAAAGAGTGGAATATTTAGAATATCCGAATGAGGCCTTGAATATACAATTGCATAGTTTCCTATATAGATTTTATAAGATGCATTTGATAAAATATATTAAAAGATTGTATGAAATAGTCAACGATGACCCTACTTCTTGAATTCTATTCTATACATTACTTTATTTGCATGAGGGTGGGTGTATGTGTTCATACACAAAAACAACTAAATTTAAATTTTTTGTGGAAAAAAAACAAGGCCTGAGATGTCTAATGTCTCTTAGCTTGTAATATATATTATAAATTCTTAAAAAACTAAGCCCACCACCCATTAAATTGTTAATTGCTAAAAATTAGAATCAGTCCTTAATTTTACTAACATTTTATTTGCAGATATAATACAAATAATTTTGACTTGTTTGACTGATGCCATTTTAAAAAGGCAAATCCCTAAGATGTTTCCTTTTTGTCTTTTTAGACCTTTCCACATTAATAAAAATTCTATGAATTCTTAACACTATTCCAAAAAAGTATTCCCTATTTTCCATTCTTTTCATTTTATGGAAAAAATAAAAAAGTTATCCCTTACATATTTTTTTAAACTTGTTTAAAGGCAGAAAGTAATACTTGACATTAGTATTCCTAAATACTCAATGCTGAGTCAATCTTACATTATAGACATTCACATTTTCACTACTGGTTGAAAATATTATAATATACATAGGGATAGAAGTCATTTAAAAAAATTTTTTTTTTTTTGGTAGAGACGAGGTCTCGCTGTGTAGCCCAGGCTGGTCTTGAACTCCTGGCCTCAAGCGATCCTCCCTCCTCAGCCTCCCAAAGTGCTGGGATTACAGGTGTGAGCCACCACACCGGGCCAGAAGTCACTGGTTTTGATGAGTGACTAAAATCCTAGTTTTTGTGTTCTCTTTTCCAAGGGTTTACACATAGAATAGGTAAAATCAGGTAGAATTTCTTGTGTTTTGTTTTTAAATACAAGTAGTCTATAATTCCCCCAAAGATAGGGAAATTGTACTGATAAGATTAAACAATATTCCTCATAAATCCATGATTCAGAGAAATGAGAGAAAATTTAAATGTAACAGTTCATAGAAGGGTAGTTTAAAAGAATTGTTGAAGTTTTCCTATAACCTGTGGTTGGAGTGCAGATCCTCCTGAAGAAAATGAGGCAGTTAAGACCTGCTGAGATGTAGTTCCTTGGGGAAAACAGAAGAAAAGTGGGGATTCTTGTAACACTGTCTGAGGCAGACGGATAAAGGGTACTGAGACGTCAGAGCCAAGAGATGCAGCTGCTCCCCCTGTAGGGGGAGGTGACTGAAAATCACTGGGGTCTGAAGAAGTGATTTGTGAGGAATCACTGGAATATTCTGGGCTTCCTATTGGCCAGTTCTGTCCAAAAGGCTCTACCACAGAAACGGTCAATTCTGGGGCATGGTAATTATGCTGTTCTTCAGTCACAGGCTGCAGGTGGCCATGTAATCCAACTGACTGAGGCGGCGGTTCTTCCAGATTCAAGTCCACTGCAACCTGTCGATTTCGGTACGCACGTTGAGGTAGAATTCCACCTCCTTCTCCTGAAGAGGAGCTTGGTGTGTGAACGTGAAATTCAAACACAGAGCTGCTTCTGCTCTCATTGCTATGAGTTAACACAGCGGGTGCAGAATGAGGAACAAAGACAGGGTGAAATTTCAAACGTGTAGCATCTACACTGATAGGTGCAGAAATACTAGAGAGGGGAGATCCTGGACTCAATCCAGAATCTAATCTTAAATTCTGAAGGTGTCCTACCAGAAAAGCCTGTCCAGATGGCAATTCCAAGACAGAACTTGAGGCAGGGCCTCCTTGTACTGGCTTCTGTTCAGGTATCTGTTTCATAGGACTTGACGGTACTTGTGAGTTGTATGGAATGCTCTCATACTGGTCTGCCACCTGGGCCTGGTAATGTACCCCAGCTAGATATACTGCTTCCTGAGGAATAAAATAGTGAGCTTCTTCTGGAAATATTAGTCCAGGTCTATAGTCATTGTAAAGTTGAGTTGTTTCAAACATAGGATGGACCTGAATCTCACATGGCTCTGTAGTTACTCTACTGGCTGTAGTACCCAACATAACTACAGCCTCTGGTGTCCAGTTTGTTGGGCTGCCACCAGGTGGAAGAAGATTTTGGCCAACAGTCCTCAGCAGGGGTTGGAAGTGGTGAGTTTGGGCTTCCAGGAAGGAGGTGCTCTTACGCCGCTGGGAAATGGCTACTTTCGGTGGACAGGTGGGAGGTGGTGAAAAAGAAACTGGACGTTCATGAATAGTTGGGAAAAATATCTGTGATTCTGGGTATGTTGGGGTCCCCCCAAACGGATGCGCCATGGACTGAGGCTGTATCAACATGAATAAGACAAGTAATTCATACATTCATATGTGAAATTACATCAGACATGCACAACTGGGTAGCTTTGTGTAACCCTATGAAATGGTTACACCAAATTTATAATCTATAAAGAAATAATGCTTTTAGAAATTATGTGCATAGTAAAAATCCATTAAATACATCCAGGGCCAAAAAAAACAACCTGTGGGACTCTTTGCATTAGATTAGAGCTGCTTTCCCACGACATTCCTCTCTCAAAGAAATGGAAGAATTAAACTTTCTAAGTGATTAATTTTTTTTACCCATAATTAATATGTTCACTTTTAAGAAGTAATGTAAATTACATCAATGGAAAAAGAGTTAAAGGAAGAGTGAGAATTAAAAGAAGGCAATAAAAGCCCAACTATTTCTATAACGTAAGTATATTTTAATTTAAGCTACTGTACTAAATCTTCCTATATTCTATACTCTTATTATCCTGTGCTGTGTTAGAGACTCCAGTGTTATTTTCTTATCAAATAATAGGATGCCTTCTGACTAGAAATCAGAAGAGTTTTTTGGTGGACAGTAACAGGCATACAACTTGACTAGTGACAATAATGTGTTTCTCCTGTTTATCCCAAACTAGATGCAATTAATAGTTTTACTATGTGAAACATGTTACAGAAGACAAATCACCAAATGTCCACTTTTCTGGTTCTAGGTAAGTGTTGAATAACCATGAATTCTCTGATTCTGATATCTGGTGTTCAAACCAGGTGAAAGGGACAACAGAAATGATAGCCAACTTGATTTAACAGCATTTTTTGTTAACAAAAGCAGTTCTAGTTTTAAGACTCTAAATTTAGAAACCTAGCTTGTCAAATGCAAATAATACAAAATGTAATACTTCACTATCATGTACTTCCTTTTAAAAGAGATCAGCTTCATTCTTTCAATAAGGATGATCCCTATATCAAGTTAGCAATGTGGCTCAACTCTTCATAAAAACTAAAAGAGGATTTCTATTTTGAATCAGAATGCTCATTTTACTGTTGTTTACTAATGGTGTGTCCCAAAGCTATGAAACATTGTATAGTTAATCATTCTCCTAAGTAAAAATCTGAAAATTCTGGGTTTGCTAGTTCAGAAAGTTAACTATATTCTGTAACTGGAAAAGCAGCAGCAAGGTCCCACAGTGCTTGAAACAATTTTAAAATACAGATCTTTTATGGATATCAATGGAGCCAAACAAAGTCATACACACTATGTATGTATCTAATGCATTCATTAGAGCCAAGGCCCCATCCTATTCAACATAAGAAAAAAATACTTCCGTGAAGGAACACTAAGTAGCCTTTTAGCATGCTGACACATCACTTCATACGAATGATTACATTAAAATCAACTGTGACTTCTCGATTGTTCGTTGCTGACTATGGTAAGAAATGGGCTCATTCAGCTTCACTTAGTGTCCCCTTAGAATAAAGTGGGGAGAAAACATTATTTGGGTAATGTTTGATAAAAACTTGCTTTTATTTTCTTCTTCTTTTTTTTAACAGGAGTATCAGACAGAAAAACTTGCTTTAAGGCAACAATGAGATTAAAATTAAATACACATTTTTTAACTAGGATATGAAAATGCAAGGATTTTATGTCAGTGGGGGACAGGAAGATATAATAAAAGCTAAATTTTACTGGGCACATGATATGTGCCAAGGACATCATAAGCCTTCTCTCTCATTACTTCCTTGCTTTTTATTCCCCTTTAAAGTCTCATTACAAAGTTTCCTGTAGGAATAAAGGTATCCTAAAAGCAAGTTCAGTCCTGTTCTTTATTCAATTTTTATTAAAATTCTTGATGCCTGGATGTATTCATTGGTAATAATTTTTCATTTGTCAGAAAGTTTACAGTTACATACAGTACTGACAAAGAGGGAAGGCAGGCTGGAGCGTCGGCGCTTGCGTTGAGAGGCAGAGTGCATGGGCAGGACGCTCTCCAATGCTTTAGAAAGCTTTTCGGCAAAACTTTCCTCAGGGACAGTCCGAGAGAGGGAAGGAGAAAGAGGTGCATACAGCACTGGTGGTGGGGTGGAAGGAGTACTGGGTGAGATGCGGGACAGAGAGGGAGCGGCAGAAAGATGAGGAACACAAACCAACATGCTACGGCCACGATGAGGCTAAACAAAAAACAAACACACACATGAAAAACATGGTACTTTGAAAACAAAACAACCAAACTGGTAACAGGGCATAGTTGCATAAAGAAATGTTCCATTCAATCCCAATTCCACAATTTTTTTTTTTTAAGGAGAGATATAACTCCCCAAAGGACACCTGGCAGATCAAAACTATTCTCTCTATTCTGTTGGTCAAATACAGGTTTTTTACAATAATGATCAATTACCATCCTAAATATTCTGAAATAACACCAACTGTTATGAGTGTATGTGTAAGAATGACAAATTGACTGAAGGGAGCAGACAGGGAAAACAATGAATATTGCCTTATAGTTTTGGCAAACATAAAGATTAAACAAGAATGAATTCTGTTAGTTTAAAGCACATTATAAGATGTAGAAGATTTTACTATTGAATTATTTAGCAGGAGCTCCGGAAATCTCAGAAAATGATTCTCATTTCTATTTTAGAAGGCATCAGACTAAAGAGGTTGTTGGCTCACAGCATTTTATTTCTTATACTTGCTGATCTTCATTTACAAAGGTAAAAAGTCATTATTTACTAGGAAAAAGTTTAGCTTTCTAGAAGAAATTCACAACTGGATATAGGAAACATTTTATCTTTATGGAGTCAATGGAAAAATATCTTCAATTTGATTCTCTAAAGAGTAACTTCAAAAATTTTTCAGACATACCAGAGATTTTGCTTAGGTTTACAAAGTTTGGAGAACCTTAACAGAAAGAGTTTAATACAGCTAATAAGCAGTCTAAAACTGTAAGGGTGTCTTGAGCAAGTTTATTCTTTTTTAGATATTGTGAACTATGTAACTAGTTACATTTTATTTTTGAAAACTGGCTGCCTAGAATGCTTTGAGCCAAATTTGTGGCCTACCAGTAGCAAGTATATAGGCATCATCATATAGTTACTTAGTTTCATCCCTCATTCCATTTTTCTCCAGCCTTGTTTTTCTTTTATTCTAATTTTTAAAATTTCACTTATAATTTGTATATTATTATAAGCCACAGTAAGTTCTTTCTGGAATGAAACAGGAACAGAATTATAAAATTTTTAAAAATCCTTAATATTTAATAATTTTTCAGACCTTCATAGAATATTGTCATTAAAAGGCAAGAAACAGCCTGCTTTTAGTACATCAATAAACAGCTATGTTAATGGCTCAAATATTTAATATTTTCATGATAATCATTCCATTTCCTTTTCTAAAAGATTCTCAACATTCATAATCCTGCGATGAATGATGCCAAGAAACTAAAAACAGTTTTTAAAAAATCTAATTATGATCAAGGAAAAAAATCAATTAAAACAAAAGTAGCAACTTATAAGAAATGCTAATAAATAATATTTGTCAGAAGATAGAATTATATCTTCTACGCTGTCTTTATAAAGTTCTTCTACCCAATTATTTTAAAGGTTAGAAAGTAGGTTGTTAAAAAATGAGTACAAGTTTTTCTTGTGTTACTGTGGACATTCATCTTGAGACCTAGCCCAAGCAAGACTGAGCAAGGGATTCTGAAACAAATGAACATCTTTTATTCCAAGCTGTAGGATAAAGGATCAGAGCAAGCAGAAGCATTTTCTTAACAGGGAAAGATTTTCACTAAATGAAGAGCAAGAATTCCGCAAAGTTCAGACTAAAAGCTTTCTGAGAAAGAGGGGAAAATCTGTCTGCTTAAAGATCTCACTAAATATAAGTGCTATACAGTGACCACGTACTCTCTAATTCCTTTCTAAGGCAGATGATGTATTTTATTTTCCTATCAAAACTTCAAAGAGCCAACAAAAGAAATGGGGTATTATCTGATGATCTACTTTAACATTCTTTATATGAGAAGCGAGAGTGGCTAATGTAAAACATAGAATAATAATGTATTGTCTGTGTGTGTGTGTGTGTGTGTGTGTGCGTACATATACACAAGCATAAAATATTTCAGGAAATAATCTCCATAAGTTGATTCTGAAAATAAATCAGTAATAAAACAGATACCAAATAAAGGGAAAAAGCAAATGAACATATACTGGGGAAGAAACTTGTGTCCAACGCAGACTTTAAAGGCAGAAACACGTACAGCAACTGATGATTAACTAAACACAAGCGCTAAATTAAACAGTCATACAAATAAAGGATTTCTTCACTCTAGAGTACTAACATGCAGCATTCTGTAATGGTTTGAAGGTCTTACCTGTGTTTTATACAATAAGAAATCTTACAGAAAATACTTAGTAATTATTTTAATAATTAGGCTTTTGAAGAACTCTCCTTGCCCCACCCCCGAATTATCTGTATGTCCAGCTTATGCTGATTTCAACAGCTTCAACTCTTAAGTAGCTAAAGAGAGCATTACCTTTACTCAACTACAGACTAGTCTAAATCTTGTATGTAGTATGCTTCATGTAGGCATGTTAATTCCCACACATTAATGTGTATACCCCACTCTGCCTGAACTACTCTAATTATATTCTATAATAAACCTATTTCCTTTAGAAATATACCATTTATATTTTCTACTTGGATAGTAGAAAGAATTTGAATTTAACAGGTTATCCTTTTGGCTCTCATTGCAGTATCACATTCTCTTACACATTTACTTACCACACTCGAGGATGGATATATCCCATGGGGCTGAGATTGTGCTTGAGCAATAGAAGCTGTATGCCCTGGGATTGTGCCAGTAGAATGTGCCTGTTCATGTTGGGAACCATATGAAACTGTCTGTTGGCTGCTCACTCGAGATTCTGTGAAGACAGAAGATCCCTGGCCACTGTCAACCGTCCCGTCAGCTGAAGGAGAAATTGATCACACACACACAAAAAAACAGAAAAGACAAATCACAAAAAGGAGGTTCACATTTGCCCATCACATTTTAGACTCATTACATTGGGGTAAATCAGTTATTTCTTTGCACAAACCTGAACTAAATAAAAAATGAACTGTAATCATATTAAGTAGATTTCTGTATTTAAATGAGAAATCCATGTGGAAAAAAGTTTTACTATTTTTTCAAAAATTCTCTATCACAGAATCTTATCACCTAAAGAGTAATGGAAATAAAATGGAATATTAAGTAAACCTTAAGCCCAGCTTTCAAAGTCTTAACTATGCAGACAAGGGGGTTCTCATATTAAGCACATAATAGCATCAATAACTAGTGTTCTCATTAGTTTTTGGTCTGTACACTGTTCGGCTTTGCTAAAAGAGCTCGACCAGATTAATGGGTTCAATTTTAAATAGCTAACTTGTTCATTCTTCATTATAATTCTATTTTAAGAAACTATGCAAAGTAGAAACCTATAAATTGGAACTTCCAAGTTGTTGGAGTCAGCCTGTAAAATTATTTTATATCCTAATCACATTTCCTCACTGCCCCACTGTTCTGTGCTATTAGTCTTGGACGTAGGATTAAAGAGAAGCTAGATGACAACCATTTCAAGTTTTTCATTATACATTTGATTCATAATTCAAAACCAAAAAGCCAGTGCAAAATGATAAGCAAGATAAGAAGTCAATTAGGAGCATCATTAGCATATTTGTCCACCTCCCAAAATACTTACATAACACAGACAGAGTAGGCTGCGGGTACTGCAATTGTTGATGTTGATCTGCCTCAGGTTCTTCAGGTTCTACTTGTGTAGAAACTGAAGCTGAAGTGGTGGAAGCAGCAGGTACACCGCTGCTAGCAGAAGGAAGCTGCTTGACTCCTGTCTGGGATGCACTGGATTGTTGTTCTACCTGCTGTTTGAGATTGCTCTCTTCCTGCTTTCTTTTTTCTTGCTCCTCTCGCACCAACTGCCGCTGCTCTCGTTTCCTCTTAATTAATGACACTCTGTCTTTGATAGCTTTAGCCATGGTCTTGTGATCACCTTCACAGACATACCCAGACTCTACCTACAGGATAAAAGGGTGTATTAGGAAGCTATAGTATATTGAAAGAAAACAACCCCAAAATACAAAAAGGCACTGTAAAAAAGTAGAGAAGAGGAGGAAGAAAGAAATCTCTCAGGACTGGTTTTAACCAAACTGTAAACTTACTGGTCTGCACTGTGCATTTTCTCACCATCTTTTAGAAACTGGCAGGGTGAGTATACCTTTACTCCTTACAACAAACAGAACAGTGGGGCACCTAAAACCACAGTTCCTAAACCAAGTAAGGTTTTCTATTCTATTCTATTCACTCTATTTCCCTCTCACACACAACCAGCATCATTGACGTGTGCTGCTTTTACTTCCTTTCACTAGGCAAAGGTTTAAACAACCTCCCCTACCCCATAAAATAATAATAATAATAATAATTAGCTATTTTAGGTACTGTGGCAAGTCTAAAATTGGTGAAGAGTTTCCTTTTGGAAAAGTGATCTTTCAGACATACTTTAAATAATGATACACTGAAGCCCGCCTACTAATAATTGATCTTGAAAAATCTCTTCAAAGTAAAAACAATTTATGATCCTATGTCTATTTATAGGGTTTATCCAGATAACTGAGCAAAAGCTAATAAATCAATATTTAGAAACATAAGTTGTCAAACTACCTGAAGAAGCTTATACAAGTTAGGAGTCCTTATAGGCCTTCAAAATGACTTCAGAATGTATTCTAGCTCTACCGACCTCATCCATCCATCCCTGTATCTATATATCTTCTCTCAAATAAAAACAACTTTAAAAATGACTACAAAATCCAACATCCGTTATAAAAACAACACAAAAAAGTACAAAGAAAGGAGTTAAATAAAAATCATAGGAAAATCCTACTATTCAAAGGGTAGCTGGGGCCAACACAATTCTGTGCCAATGGAATATGCCACACATACCACTTCATATTTTTGCTCAACAGTATTAACGGACATAAACCTACATAAATTTTAAAATGGCTGATTAGTGTCAATTTACCATTTCTTGAGCAACATCTTCTGGGACATCTCTCTCCAAGTCAAAGGAAAATTCAATGGCTTCATTGTCTTTGTATTTTCCCTTTAATTTCTTAATATCTTCAATACGTAGCCATAATTTAATGGCTATCTTTTCTCCATCATCTTCTTCTGCTAATTCTACCCGTACCCCTGTTTCCTCCTGGAAGAAGGCATGGTTCAAAAGGTCTTTGATGGAATATCTTCCAAAGAGAATGAAAAGAAAAGGAACAAAATTAATATACTATTAGTTTGAAAAGATAATTTTCAAATGTGGCTGATTATTGTTATTCCTAAGAAGAAAAAATAAATGTGAAAAGAAAAACAAAGGAAAGTTTCTCACTCATTTTTTCATTTTTAATTTTTTATATTATTATTTTTTTTTAGAGATAGGATCTCACTCTTGCTCAAGCTGGTCTTGAATTCCTGAGCTCAAGCAGTCCTCCTGCCTCGGCCTCCCAGAGTGCTAGGATTATAGGCGTGAGCCACCGCGCCTGGCCTCTAACTCATTTTTATATTGTTCCATTTAAGTGGTAATTACAGAGTTTTACTCCATGTTACAGAACGTAACAATCTCAGTTATGAATAAGAGCTGATGGTAATAATCTTTAAATTCAATGATCTAATCTTGTTAACAAATAGTGTACTAGTAATGGCAAGTAATACATAGAATATCAAAGCTTCAAAATACCATGTAACCATTCACATAGAATTTTATAACAAAAATATCCTCAGATATAAGATCTTGTCTGATCCTTGACCAACATCCAATGAGATACCATTTCCTGATTATTAGCAAATGGAGGCTCAGAGAGGTTGAGAATCTTGCTAATAGTTAAAAGCTGTAAATAGTGGAATCAAAACTGGAAAATATATCTTTTGATTTCTAGTTAGGTGCCTTCTACCACAGCAACCTCTATTTATCCCCAATAAATTCTCTCAATTCCTTGTTCAACAATTTGTGTACTAGGCAAGCACAAAGCTGATTGTTCAACAATCTTTTGTAGATAAAATGGTTTCAAAATACCAGTAATCTAGTAAACTGTTCCATCTAGAAAAGAAACAGTGTAATGTGTTCTAAGACTCAAAACAAATATTCCTTTGTTTATAGGAGGGAAAAGTTCTTAAAGAGATTAAGAACTCAGTGTATATAAAAATAGAAATTCAAACTAAATTTCTACTAAAAAGCCTTAAAGCCCATGATGTTAAACTCTTCCAAATAACAAAGTCATAAAAAGAATGAGATTGGAGAAGTGGAGCTATGGAATTCTTTAATTTGGTTAATATACCTGATTGCTCTCATCTTCAGGTTGTAGATTATGCTCAATTTACAAATTACATTTGTACCAGCTGGTCTTTTTCTTTTTGGGGAGGGTATGGTGGTGGTGGGGGCATAAAGTTACATTATTTTTCAAAAACAGACACTGGACCCTTGCCATGCCTAAAGGGTGATGAATCAGTTATATGGCAGATCAGATACTTGCCACTCCTGAGAAAAGTCCTCTGTTAGTACTAATGACTAAGCCAAATCTCCTCCTAAGCCTTGGGCGAAGTCTTCTCTTTTTACTCAAAGGAATTTTGATGTTTTGCTCTTCTTGAATTCTGGCATAATGACAGCAAATCAAGACCTGCACAGTTGAGCTGATTTTCAAAAGTAAAGATTTTATTTCACCTTTTAGAATTCAATGGGTAAAGGATTGGGGAACAGATTTGTTGTGCTAGAGACTAAACTCTTTCGAGTTTTATAAATCATGCTGACGCATGCTGATGTAAGTAGTTCTCATGGAATGTGGTGGCTATCCTTAAGGTGGTTCTAGTTTACTTAAAACTCTATAAAACCCCATTTTTGTAGTGTTCTAGTATATCTGATCTGAATAACCTCAATGGACAGAATCTTGCTTTTAAAAATGTTACATAGCATAAATAGAGAAGAAATTAACCATAAGTATTAAATACACCTTAGATTGAGCGTTGTACTCAGAGCACATTATGGTGTAGATTTTTGTTGAAGCATTATAAGGGTCAAAAGAGGCAACTTACCTTTCATCTTTGTTTTGCCGTATGCATCCTTCAATAATTTCCTTCACTTCAGGAATTGCTACTTTGTCAAAACTGGCTGGCTTCACCCCCTGAAAACCATAAAAAAACCAGAAACACATTAATGAAAGCAGGGCCTTTGAACTTTGTTTTTTAAATTTCCAATTAAGATCCTTATAGGTTGCCTTCTTACTATCCCGCCTTTTTTTTTTTAGTTGGATAGTGCCAATGCAGCCCCTCACGAGAAAAAAGGAAGGAACAGTTTGACAGTGCTGTCACTTACTTCCATATGTGGCAATGGAAAAATTTAGGCTGGTGTTAATATCTTCTGTTGTGTTTCAGGCAAAGGAAGTTATTGGCTAAAAATAAGGCCAAATGTTCTAATTGGTTTAGAAGATCTTTTGTTCAACCTTGTTCCCTAACATATTAATCAGTACAGTATTTCACTATTTTAAACACTGAACCTATGTGTGGGCATGAATTCACATGCTTAGTTTGGCAGCCATTATATTATTACAGTACTCTTTAACAAACTCAACTAGTACAGAAAGAGTTGAGGATTTGTATTATTTTGGCATGAAAACTAAAGGGCAAATTGCTTGCACAAATTAAACATAAAATGAAAAGCAATATATCAGATCCATATGAAAGATAAGCTTTGTAATTAATTTTGGAAGAAAACTCATTACCACCAGTTTATATGTGATACTGTATAGCAGCACCACAGTGATAGTTTTAAAGCTTCATAAAGTATAAATTCTCTAAAAATAAAGTCTCCAGGAATGTGTAGAAAATACATACAAGACATAAGAACAAAAAAATACAGTTATCTATTCCCACTCCATCTAAGTGACCACATGGGTCAAGAGTTGAAGTAGCTACATTGAGATATCGCCGAAGGGGCACTGTAAGTCTATAAACAGATAAAACAAAGGGAGTGAGGAGAAGAAAGCGTTCAGAAAAAAATTACTGAAAATATATAAATGATAATCATTTAAAGTCTTGGTGACAGATATAGTAATCTACTAAATCACAGAGATGTATGTAATCTCTCACAGATCTAAATGAAATACATCAAATGATTAGCTCTGAAGTCTTTAAATACCATAGTTTTATTCAAAGTTGGATAATTCTCATCAATTACTTGCTGTATTATTCCAAAGTCCTGATCTGGGGAATTCTACTCCTAGGGCTAACTTCAGAGCCAAAAAAACCGTGTAGCAGGGCTGAACCTAAAGTTAAACCCATATACTTAAAAGGTTTCTGGGAAGACTACAAAGATCACTATTTATATTTTCCTCTATCTTATTTTTCCAAATCTAACTACGTTTTTTCCCTTTTGTTCGTGTCTTCACATAGTTTTAATGAAAACAAGAAAATAATACTGCTGAAGCAAAAGACTGCTTTAATTGAGCAAGCTGGCATTTCAAACAGACTTTAAAAAAATAAGAACTGCTTTAAGAAAAAAGAATGGATGCTACATACTAAAAGTTCTCTGGTAGTACTAAGTACAGTCAGCCTTCTGCATCCATGGGTTCCACACCCATGGATTCAACCAATGGCAGATCGAAAATATTTGGAAAAAAATTGCAACTGCACTGAACATGTACAGATTTTTATTATTATCCCTTAAACAATACAGTATAATGACTATTTATACAGCATTTATATACCTTTACACTGCATTAGGTATTATAAGTAATCTTGAGATAATTTAAAATATACGGGGGATGTGCATAGCTTAATATGTAGATACTATGGGCCATTTTATATCAGGGACTTGAGAGCACCCTTGCATTTTGGTATCTATGGGAGGTCAAGATCCTGGAACCAATCCCCCACCGACGCTGAGGAACAAATGTATTTTGTTTTATATTTGATTTTAGTTTTCTACAATAAACATGTAAAATTGCATAAACTTTAAAAATGTTATTTATAAAAATAATGGAATCTCAAATGCAGTATATTAAGTTTGTAGAATATTCACTACTAACAAAAAAATTATCTGAATGACTGCTCTTTGGTAGAACTGGGCACTCATACATAGTTGGCCTTTGCATATAAAGACAGTTATGAATGTTACAGAAAAGTAGCTAAAGAGAATACAGAATTTTTGATGAGGAAAAATGTTCCTTCTTCCATAAGCACATACATTTCAGAGGAATGTGTTTGGACTACTGGCAGTTAAACTCTTACATATTAAGTTAATAAAGCAAACATAATTTTATCCATGCAAACATATATGCAATCATGACTTTACAAATAGGAATTCTTATTTAAATATAGAAATGATAATTGAACAAAATAGACATGATACAGCAAAATCAGTAACTGTGTACAATCTAACCTCAAGGTTATACTGCTTTTCTCAACCTATAGTCATGATTTAGGTATAGAAAATTCCATACCAATGCTATACAACATATTCAGATACCACTGCTATCTTAAAAAATGTATTATAGGTGCCAAGGTAGCCAATAAAACAGATACACCTTACCAGTCCAGCAGCTGGTATTAAAAGATTAAGACTGTTTACTGCTACCGACTTAGATACTAAAAAATGGAACAAGGAATTTCACCAGCAACTATCAGGAAGCCAGGATTATCAAAAATACCCAGGCCGGGCGCGGTGGCTCACGCCTGTAATCCTAGCTCTCTGGGAGGCCGAGGCGGGCAGATTGTTTGAGCTCAGGAGTTCGAAACCAGCCTGAGCAAGAGCGAGACCCCGTCTCTACTAAAAATAGAAAGAAATTAATTGGACAACTAAAAATATATAGAAAAAATTAGCCAGGCATGGTGGCACATGCCTGTAGTCCCAGCTACTTGGGAGGCTGAGGCAGGAAGATCACTTGAGCCCAGGAGTTTGAGGTTGCTGTGAGCTAGGATGATGCCACGGCACTCTAGCCGGGGCAACACAGTGAGACTCTGTCTCAAAAAAAAAAAAAAAAACCTAGCAGAGGAATCCTGAATCATTTAAGAAGAATATATAGGTATTGTATGTTAAAGTTGACCAAGTGAAAGTTGTGTGGAATGAGTATGAAACCTCAGACCCTAAAGTAACCCACAAAAAAGAAGGCTGCTTAAAATAAACAATTACATACTTTGATACACTCATACTCATCATACTCTAGGTTTCTTATTCTCAAAGACATGAGAACGCAATGTATTTTTTTTAAAAAGTTGGTTTAGATTATTCTAAAACATGAATTTAAGCACTGGACAGAACAAAGTAATGATAAAATGTTTTTATGATGGAAGACTTCATCTTATGAAGTCTTTTAGTTCATATACTTCAACAAACATGATCAACTTAAAGCCCAACAATCCTCCAAATATCACCCCCTTTCCTTATTCCCTGCTTTAGTTCCACTGAGTCCTATTCTAAACAGTAAAAGCAAAGTATTGCTCACCTATTCTGAACAAGGTTCAAAACCATGAACATAAAACAGTAAGTACTGAGGTAGATAAATTGGGCTAATATCTTAAACAGAACAAAAGCAAAGTTTGTTAAGGACACATAATCCTCTTACTCTACTCCTCCAGAGCCAGTAATTCACTGGCTCTACAAATATTCTTCCCTTACTTTTCTAATTTACAGAAGTTCTCTTCAGGCAGTAATACCATATTAAGTTTTCTGACATGGGATAGTAGCTTATTTCTCTTCATTAAACGTAAGTACTTCTTGAGTATCTAGTATACATCCATTACAAGAAACAAAGCCTATTTCTGCATAATCTTAAGTGGGGTAGAAAAAAATTAACAATTGTGATTCTACAAAGGCAAATCAAGAGTTTGATATAAGATAATGTTTATCAAGTACGTTGCTTTATTTGAACTAATAATAAAAACACATACACACATTAATTATAGACTTTTACTTTGAATTCTATATGCTATGTTTTCTAACTAGAAAAATAAAAGTGAATCACAACACAGTAGTCTCTCATTCAACCTTCCAGATCTTAAAAATTGTCAGTACTTGCTTTTTAAAAGCTTAAGTTTCGAATGTGTTAGGGTAACATGCAACTATCTCTTCATAAAGGCAAATTTTTTCTAATCATTTAGAATTAAGAAAAGCCTACCTCTTCCTCACACAGAATATGGTGCAAATTAATTCAATTACAGAACTTTAAATATTTTTAAAAGCATTCTGCAGTTAACAATTTCAATACTTTAACTGAAACTTTCTACAAATATCACCAAAAAGGCTACAATAAACCCTTTATATACATTGGAAATTCTTACCCACCTCATTTATACAATCCTTTTGAGGGCAGCAGCAACAATGAGAATTTATGATGACAAATACTGAACAAAAATCTTTCTTTGAAAAATCCATGAGAAAAGGCAAAATACACTTGTTTTCATTAGAGGAAAATGAGGGGAAAATGGATATGATGTAAATTAGTAAAGTAAATTTAGCCCACAGCATAAGGAAGGCAGACATCAAAATCAGACAGAAGCACTGTTTCTTGTTTAATACTAGCCATACTTCCCCAACTCTCAGACGTAAGTTTGCTCTGCTCAGCCAACAATCTAGTTATTCTAGATTTGCCCTTCAGACAAAACTACATGCTGAACAGCAGGGAAACTATTCAGTTACTGTTCCTTCTGCTTCTCTGTCAACAGTAACAGATCCCTGAACAAGCAAGATGAAGTTTTTACTTGCTCAATGCTCCACCTACTACGGAGCACAGGTTCTGCCTCCTTGACCTACTGAAACCTATCTTGGAGGCTTACCTGTATGCATACTAGAAATCCATTTATCAAAACACTCCCTTCCCTCTAATCATGTTGAAACCGAGCTTTCAAATAAAAAAGGGATTGAATTAAATGAACAAAGGGTAAACTCAGAATATATAGCCAAAAGAACACTGGACAAGGAATCACAACAGTGGGGCTGGGTTCTCGGCTGAACCTGTATCATATACTAAGTTGGTGTGACCTGGACCATAACCCTTCAACTTACTTGAATAGTGGGGATAATAGTTCCTCTGTTTACCCCATTTAAAAAGTGGTGATGTTAAGGTAAACTGCCTTATCACTCTCTCATAGTATATTAAAAAAAATAAACAGTTGTGAAGTAGTGTTC